GAAGTCTAAGGAGTTATTTAACATGTTTTGGATTGTTCAAGAACTTATTTGTTCCAAAAATTGTCCAATGAGTTATTTAACATGTTTTAAATTGTCCAAGGACTTATTTGCTTCAAAAAATTGTCCAAGAAGTTATTTAACATGTTTTTTGAATGTCCATTGATTTATTTGTTCCAAAAAATTGTCCAAGTACTTAATCATTCCAAATATTAAAGTTCATTGAGGGTTGCTATTTATACCTCGTCTATACTCATAATCCACCTATTTTTACTTTCTACCTCATCTATAAAAAAGGATACAAATAGAATTCATCGTTAAAAAAACAGGAAAACTACGAAGCGAATACAAGACCACCTAACTTGACAATTTATGGAAGATACAAAAGCCAGATGTAGACACAAAGGACTATACTAATGAGGTCACCAACCCACGACAAGAACACTTGAATAAAATGACATACCCAGAAGCAATTTTTAATTTATTATGAGTCCAAACGCATCAAGTAGGGAAAAATAATTCTTAATTGTTTAAAATAAAAGAAACTATCACTAGAAGATCAATATAACGAATCGATTGATGGCATCAACAATCTAGTACTAAACTTGACCTTAAACTGGTTCTCAGGTTGCAACGCCATTCCATCCGAGAAGAAATAAAACCGTTGAAACCCACTAAAAGAAAACAGATAAATGTCTGAAAGACAAGTCCACAATAAAAAACATCACTTGATTACCAAAAGTGCAAAACTTGTATATAATAAGTCCACAAGGTCACTTGTTCGGCCCAATTTGCCAAAGAGGGAAACGAACGGTGATTTTAGGACACAAATTTGCGCAAGTTCCACAAGCCAAAGACCTTAGTCCACACATTATAACTTTTTTTATAGCACATTATATAACGATGGATTGTATTTAAACATATTTTACGTTTTAAAAATATAAAAGGAACACATAATAATGAATCATGAGAGCATCTCTAATAGTTTCTCTAAAATGGAGAAAATCAATTTTTTCCCTTTTCAATAATCTAACAGTTTTCCTATCTTATGTCACTACTTGCACCTGCTTTCGTAGGATACAAACATTGAAAATAAGCTCCAATAATCGTTTCTAACCTAAGAAAATAGTTAATTAATTAAGAACAATGTAGAAATTAAAAAATCCATAAAATAAATGAAATAGAAAAACATTAACAATAGATGAATATGAAATTTAATTAAATAATAAATCCAAATATAAATATAAAATATGGAGAAAATGAACCGTTATAATGGATGTTGGACGTTGGATGAAAATCTGTCACATTCTATCTTCGTCTTTAATTCATCAAAATAATCAATGAATATTAAGACTAAAAAACAAAGAAAATAAAAAAGAAAACAGAGCAGGTGCCGTGGGGAAGAGAAGAGAGACCTCGAGACTTAGGGGTTGTTTATTTATTTTTTTCCAGCTATTAATTATCATTTATGTTTAATTTGTTTGCACGTTTTATAATTCAGACTGTTTTTTTTAGAGTCTCTTATCACTTAATACGGTGTGAATAAATAAGAGGTAAACCAATATCATAATTCTTTTTGTTTCTCATTTTTTTAATCTCTTTGGTTATTGCTTCTTTCTCCACCAGAGATGTCACCGTCCTTTCATCACCCATGTGAAATGCACGTCCCCACCTTCTCTCTCTAGATCTCTCTCTCTCTCTACATATATATATATATATAGGGGTCTAATCAAATAAGAACTAATTAGTTTGTGGTAACTGTGAGGTCCAATCTCAACCATAAATCAATAGATAAATTAGAAAATTTATAATTTTGATAATTTTTAATTAAAATTTTAATGCAAGGACATTTTAGATATTTTTATCTTCTCTCTCCTATCTCCTCTCTCCTCTCTTCTCTCTCCGTCTCCGGGTCTCCGTCCCCTGGCCTCCGGTGATACCACAGTGGTATCACAATGCATCTTATATGTGATKGGGTATCACACTGTGGTCGTTTGTGCGGTCGATCGGATATGTAACACAGTGGTATCACAATGCATCTTATATGTGCTTGAGTATCACACTGTGGTATCACCGGATGACGGTGGCCGGAAGACGGGGATGGAGAGAGAAGAGAAAATACCTAAAATGTTCTTGCATTAAAATTTTAATTATAAATTACCAAAATTATAAATTTTCTAATTTATCTATTGATTTGTGGTTGAAATTGGATCTCACGGTTACCACAAACTAGTCAGTTCTCCTTTGAATGGACCCATATATATA